GGGTGATCATCCATCTTTTGTTTGGTTGTGGATGGTCCCCTCTTAGCAATGATTGGAATGGCAGTGCCTTATGGTGTCCAGATAAATGCAAGCAAGAAGCTGTGTTCCTGTACAACTGCGCAGATGCGCACGTATGGATGTGCGAATTGTACTTGTGGGAAGTGTGCACGGCGCTGCAAGGCCTCTGGCCACCCTTGTGTCAAAAGTTGCAACCGTGACTAGCCTGAGCCTTGGGAATTGGGGTACACAGTTTGCTGAAGAAACCATCAACCGATTTCAACAACAAGACTATGGTACTAATTGGGTGCCCAAACGGCTGCGGTGATGGAGCAATATATCAAAAGGAAGGATTCAGGTCCTTGTTGGTTTTCTTCCTGGAGATTGTTGTGAGCCTGCTAGTCTGGTGCCGTGCACAAGTAATTCAGTCCCGATTGACATCGCTATTGAGCATGTCCTGAATCGAATCTGTACCCAACATCCCTTGCACTTGCTGTGCACGTGTTGCATGCTGAGAATGACATTTCAGGCCTGTCTCCACCTCAGTGCACTGTAGATGGATTCTCCTTTCCAATCTGCAACTCTCAGCATCTTTAGCTTTGCATGGTCTGCATATGCTGTCCATGGTATGGGGAGGGCTTGAGCTGCATGACTTCTAGATATAGTCTTCCTGCTGGTGGTTTCGAAATTGAGGTCAGAAGGCATTGGTGGTGGGTATGCTGTTGAATTGGCTTGTGCCTGGGATTGAGATGAGCCCTGGTTTGTCTGCGGCAGGTGGTCAACCTTGCCTTGTCCGGACTGGAGAAGGTGTGGCGGAACGGGGAGTCCTCAAATGAGCATGGGACAGACTCCCTCAGCGAGGCGGACAGTGATCTGTTTGCAGTTGAACGGCTGGAGGCGTTGGGCGAACTGGTCTCAGAGATCGCTGAGGGTCGAGGTGGGGAGCAGGGGGCTGAGAAGAAGTTGGGGAAAGCTGATGAAGAAGGAGAAGAGGGAGGCATGGTCAGCAAAGTAGAGCAGATGAAACTGGAAATCGAGCGAATGAAGAGAAAGGTATGACCTTACAAATCTGGGGGGATGATAATGTGATCATGACTTTGTGGGTCATATAGAAGCTGGTGGTTGGGGCACTGCACTGTCAGAAAACCAACCCTGCAAACTTTTGTTGGAACGATGTTGTTTGGCCACTCGTTTGTTGCTTTTGCGTCTCAATGATTGTATTTTCACAGCTATATTCATCTCTATGTATCAGTGCCTTTGCTGTCCTTTTTGGCCACCTCTTGTACTTTCTGTGTGAGTGGGAGGAGTGCAGAGATATGCACCTATGGGGGCGAGTGTCCAGTGCGGATATGATGGGCCCAACACATCCAGCAGGTGAAAGACAGACCTCAGGCATACCTCAATTCACTGAGCAAGGTGGTTGTAGCCAGAGCAGAGTGACATCGTTGGCTGTGCTCTCTGCAGTGCATGGAGGCTAGGGAGAGTCAGGCAGCCCGGGAGATGTCCAAGGAGCTGCACAAGAACATGCCAACGATGCGGGAGGTGACAAATGCCCTCACCAAGGAAGCAGACATGCTGGAGCAGGCCAAGTCAGAGCTGGGTACCGACAAGGAAGACTTCATGGCAACGGTGGGGAAGGTTCGCTGGCGGAAGGCGCAGCGGTCTGCATCACAGGGAAAGTTGAACCCGCCCCCACCCCAAGTAGGTGGCCCTGAAGACAAGAGACCGATGTCCCCTTGAGCATGTCTTCATGGGTTTCATGAGAGCATGGGGGCGCTGACAGGGGCCGGGCATGCACATGACATGCAGCTGGCAGTTTGAGGCACGGTCAGGTGGTTGTGCTGCAGCCAGAAGCGGCTGGTGTTGCAATTTGATTGTGGGCAGCTGTCTTGTTCCTGTCGCAGCATCAGCCTGGGCAGCTTGACAGGTGGAGCTGGCTGTTGCCTGCTGCTGGTGCATGCAGTGGCCTGCTGATCAGATGCATCCTGTAGCCACGTGTTTTTGGATGCTTGGAGTCTGTGAGGAGCACAGAGGGGCGAGAGGTTGCTCTGGGGTGTTCTGAATGCATCCAGCCGCCACCCGGAGGGGGGTCCAGCCTTCGTGCACCCTGCAGTGTGGTCTCCAGGTGGAGGATCGGTGGAAAGCGGGCAGCAAACCTTTCACAGACCTGCAGTGCCACTGCCCATGGTGTTGGCCTGTTGTGGTTTGGGGCGCTTGCCTCTGGCGCTGCCTGCTGAAGGCCTCTGTGTTGCACCAACTCCAGAGATGTGCCTTTGCTAGGGAGTCCCAAAGGCCATGAGGACATAAAGCATGTCAGACCTGGTTGGAGATGGTGCAACAACCCGCTGTCAGCGGCAGCCAGGTCGCTGGCGTGCTGCTTTCACCTGCCGGCATCCGGTGAGTGAGCGATGCTGCAGATGGGGCGCCGATCATTGGTGCGGTGAGGTTTGGTGACTGGAAGCGTGCAAGCTGTGGTATGGATGCCGCCAACATGTCTGCAGGATTAGTAGTTTATGGAAAGAACAGTGCTGCATGGCAGGCGTGCTGGCTGATGGGGTCATCAATGACCGACCAGGGGGGATATTTTATTCTACAGTGTGAGTGATACTTTATATTTCTCTGGCCCTTGTGAGCGCAGCTGTGGCCCTTATCTGGCGGATGGAAGTGGATTGATGGTGGTGGGCTGGCTGCTCCTTGTGGTGAGGTCGCAATTTTTTTAAGCATGTTGGTACTTTTTTTGACCATCTTGAGCAACGCAGTGACCCAATCGCTGGGCCGCTGGTGTAGTGCGGCTTGTTCTTGAGGTACTCGTAGTTGCCCATCTTGCAGTCGGGGATTAGTGTGCATTCGACCAAACCGCTAGAGTTTGGAACGGGGGCCATGAAGTTAGAGGCACACAGTTGGATGCTGCCGAACGGTGTTGAAGTAGAGGGTGGAACCTTGAAGCTCACCTCAGCGACTCCTCACAGCGACTCCTAACAAAGTTTCCTCAAACTCTCCTCATGTAGACATCAATTTGTTTGCCATCCCGCTTCGTGGACGGAAGGAAAGCACGCACCGCGGGAGGTGGCCTCCCCACCTCGCCAGTGCACCTTCGCCCGGTCGCACCACATTCCCACATTGCTGACAGTGGGTTGGCTGTTCCAGTTTGATCCCGCACAGTACTTGATGTGCCCGTCTCGTCCCAGTTGCTTCACGATGTGCCGCCCTCCATCGCCCTGACGGTGGTGACGATAGTCTAGCAGCTTTCACGAGCTCCCATTCTCTCAACTGCTGGTTTAGAATTGGTCCCGTGCAGCCCTCGGTGCTGGCTTCGTGGCCAGGTTGCCAGAGGAGAGGATCAAGAGACGAATTGTCGGATGGCCGAAGCCCAGCTTGCCCGTCCCCAACGTCCCATGTGGCGCTGCACATTCGGATGCAGCCGTCTTCCTGGGGGCCAAGGGTCTGTCGTCCTGCTTCGCGAATGTCTGCCACGAAATTTCGACGCGCTGAAGAGCGTGTGCGATCGGGTAGTCCAGTGTTGTGTGTTCTGCCGCTAAATGGCCGTTGGTGGAATGTGAGATTCGTACAAGGGCACTTCCGAAGCGCTGCCCCTTGAAGGCCCGACACGCGCGATCGAGCGGAATCGCTTGCATTGCTCATTGGAGTATGCTGTTTGAGCATGGAGGAAGCGAGTGGTTGCTGTTGCGGGGGCGCTGCGGGCACCCTGAGGATTTTGGCGTGTTGTATAGGATGCATAGCCTGCGCGTGGCTAGCTTGTGCTACCTGTTCCATCACCAGGCGACAGTGCTTCACTTGGTTGTGAATTGACTGACAATGCCTGTGCCAAATCCGGCCAGATCTGGGCGCACAACAGGGAGAAAAAGCTGCGATCTTGGCCAGTGCTGGGCCTCACAGCGCGTTTAGAGATAGTCTCGCATGTTGACACGCGTCTAGCCTTTTGTCTCGGCTTTTGCGTGGTGCTCCAGCCACCGAGCCAAAGCCACCTGGGCTTGGCCACGGCGCCAAGTTCATGGACGCAATGCAAGGCAGCTAGGTGCCTTCTGCAAGGATTCCAGCTGGGACCCGCCCACGGTCGTGTGTGTCTGAAACGCTTAAGGTGCAGCCCAGGCTTTCCCAGCAGAACAGGTGCCCCCCTTGGCGCCGATATTGCCTAGCAATGTGACCACGCGTTTAGCGGTCTACAAACTATGTGCGGCGACCAAGTGTCATGGTGCACGAGGCGCCGATATTGCCTAGCAATGTGACCACGCGTTTAGCGGTCTACAAACTATGTGCGGCGACCAAGTGTCATGGTGCACGAGACGTTGAAGAAGTTGGGGTATTGACATGAACAGTAATTGACACATCACCAGAAGCAGGAGAGTTTTAACAGCCACAGCCCTCTATTACTGTAGAATCGATGAATACCACTGTCCCGCCCCATGACAGTGGTTGATTTACAAGCCTTGGCTCTCGTGGTAGCCACGCCAATGGCAGGATTACTCCCACCGCCACACTGGCCGTCAACGACATTTTTACAAAAGACCACCCCGCCCCTCCCACCCATACACCCCCACGCCCCTCCCCCCCGCCCGCCCGCCGGAACCCGCTCACGACAATTGCATATTTGAAAATGAATTACAACCATGTCGTCGAAATATGCCGTGGGTAGCCTTTATGTCAGCTGCCTCAGATGGAATGGCGGTTCTCATTTCACCATCGAACGATCCGTGAACTTGACAAGCTCATCCCATTACAAAGAATTCGTTGCTGTTCGATAAACACGGCTTGAATTCACTGATGCGCTCGTGGCGGGGCATCCGTGGGATACTTTATGAGTTGGGGCGCGAAACGGTGCTCTACGCGCACCCCATGGTGCGCCGCGCGCACAAGCCCCCGGCGCCGGCTCTGCCGTCGCTCGCTCCCGTAAAACCACCGGCTCGCGGTCAGAAAAATCGTCCAATGGAAACAATTCCGCTCAAATAACAACTCTAACTGATCTGGAGGGCGCCGAGGACGCTGAGCTCCGGCTATCCCACGTATCTAGACGCCCTAGTTGGTGTGGGTGGCGGAGCCGTCGCACCCAGCGACCTTCCCGTCCGCGGCGGCGGTGTCGCAGTACACGTTGGCCTTGCCCTTGCCATCCGCTCCAGGCCCGCTCCCGCCGTCGACTTCGGCGTAGGTGTCTTCCTGCAGACGCGGATGAGACATCGTTCAGTGGTGCTCCACGGCTGCACTTTATCGGTACCGCTGTTTCGAGATATCCAGGATGGAGCGACCTCGCCGTGCATCAAGGCAGATGCCGAAATCGGACAATCGTTTGAACTGCTTGGGAACACATCGCTAGCGTGAACAATGCGCACAGCACCGCGAGCACAGTATATATTACACTCAGCAGGCACCGCGAGCGATATATTTTTTGAAACTTGCAGGCATCCTTTCACTGGGGGATCCCCATCTGCACTCACCCCTGCCCCAGCGTAGGCGTTGAACGTGGCATTAGCGTCGCCGGTGGTGTCGCTGGAGCCCCACACGTAGACGTTCTTGCCGTCGGACTTGGCCACAGCCGACACCGTGCCTGGCTTGGTTGCCGGGGCCTCAGGGGCGTAGGTGTAGTAGGGGTCCACTGGTGCGGGCTTGTAGTAGTAGGGGTCCTGAGCGGCGGGCTCAGGCTCGGGGTAGGGGTAGTAGTAGTGCGGGTCGGTGGAGTAGTCGTCCTTGGGCGCGTACGGGTAGCCGTAGTAGTACGGCGTGTCGGCGCTGTTGTCAGTCGTCGGCGCGGGGTAGTAGTAGTAGTACGGGTCCATGGGCGCGGCCTGTTCGGCGGGGCTGGGGTAGTAGTAGTAGTACGGCACGGTCTTCACGTCCTCGTCCACCGAGATGTCGGGCTGAGGGTACAGGTAGTAGCCGCAGCCGGAGGCGTCGCCAGCGGCGTCGTGGGGGTAGAAGTAGTACCCTGGCATGGTGTCGTCAGCGGCGTCCTCGGTGGCCGTGGGGTCGTAGAAGAAGTAGTAGCCGTGCAGCGTGTCGTCTGCTTCCTCCTCAGCGGGGTCCTCGTACGCGCCGCAGACCTTGACGGGGGCGGAGTTGCACTCGTAGCCGGGCAGGCACTTGTGGGGTCCGCAGTCCGTGACACCGGCGGCCACTTCGTCGGCGTAGGTCTCGTCGGTGGGGTCCACGCACACGGGCACCTGGACCTCCACGGCGATGTACTTCTTGACGGGCGCGCAGAGCTCCGTGCACATGTGGCCGGCGGGGCAGAAGGTGGGGACACCCTTGGCGTCGTAGCCGCACTGGGCAGCTGCGGAAAGGGACAGGGAGCTTATCAGTTCCGATCGCCATCAGCGCGGGATTGGCAAGCAGGGCTAACTCGCCGTCAACCACTTGGCAACTCAAAAAAAGACTGGAACTCTGCGCAGGAGAGTCAGGACGGCAGGGACACTATTCTGTAGCGAAACAACTGGGCTGGGCCAGCTGCGACGCCACAAAACTTTCAAAGGAGTCTAGGGACTTGAAAGTTGTGAACACGCAGCAGTCGTGAGTGAGCATGGTTGAGAAAATGGACTGGTCGACATCTCTTACCGTCCTTCTCCAAAACGGCGTCCTTGCAGACCTCGACCTCGCAGGTGGCGCAGAATGAGCCGGGATCGCAGACGCTGCCGCCGCAAGGCTGGCCGTACTTGTAACCCGGAGCCCAGCCCAGAGGGTAGCCCTTGTAGTAGCCTGGCGCGTAGGACTTGGGGTCCTTCTTCACGCACACCTCGTGGGTGACGGTCTTGCACACCTTCGGGTCTGAGACATTACAGTGCACTCGCTCATTTCCGCAGCCCACTGCCGTTCCGGTAAAGCAGAACTAATCAGAACTGCAGGCGAGTCTGCAATGCAGGCAGGTCAACTGTACAGAGAACTGCGCGAAAACGTTCCATCCACAGATCAGCGACGAGGACACATTCACCGCCAGTAGCCACACACGAAATGCACGAGTTGCTCCTCCGCGGGCGGGCATGCTGCTGAATCCACTCACCGACTGCCTCGCAGGAGTAGACATCCTTGCAGGCGACCTTGCCGGGGTACGGGTAGGCGGGGTCCTCAGCGGCGGCGTCGACCTCGGGGTACTTGGCGGGGTACTTGCCGTAGGCACCAAGCAGGCTCTTGCCGCCGGCCTTGGCCACAGCGTTGGCGGAGGCGGGACCACCATCGGAGGTGGCGACGGCCTTGGCGACGGCGGAGGCGGGGGCAGCCTTGTCCTCCTCGGGGGCCACCTCGGGGTAGGGGTAGGGGTAGCCGTAGTACGGCGTCTCGTCCTCGGGGTCGACCTCCTCAGGGGCGGGGTAGGGGTAGCCATACCCATAGACCTTCTTGCAGACCTTGTCGACCTTGCAGACCTCGTCGTAGGCGCACGAGGTGTCGCCGCACTCCTTGGAGATCTCCTTGCACACCAGCTTGGGGTCCGCGCAATCGGTGACGGGCACCTCGATCATCTTCTTGACGGTCTTGGTGACGGTCAGGCACAGGTTGGGGAGGGTGCACGTCTCCGTGCCGCAGGTCGCTGCGAGGGAAAGCGAGAGGTCAGAACACCCGGCTGGCGAGTCAGGCGCGGACAGCGGAGGAACGCGCACACGCAGTATTGTTTGAAGTTTCCTTGCTCAAGGCAGGTGGAAGAACAGCGGTTTAGGCAGAACGTTCGCAGCGGGCAAATGTGCACTTTACACGATACGCTAGTTTGGAATTGGCAAGATGCTGGAAGCGGACGCGCAGCGCGGTTAGGGGCGAGCAGTGTGAAATCTACCAGAACGCAAAATGCCGGATGTGAAAGAAGAGCAAGCGGAACGAGCAACGGTGGGCACTCACGTGAGACCTCCTCGGGAGCGTCGCAGCTGAAGTGCTTCTTGTAGAAGCAGGCTGAGCACACACACACACACACACACACACCATCAGCCAACGGACCAACAAGCCTGTTAAGAAATTGATCCCTGGCAAGCGGAGCAGGAAAAGCGGCCCGAGCACACAAATGCGGGCCGGAAACGGGCCACGTGAGCTCGCTCCGCTCACCAACGGGGTCCTCAGCGGCGGCGTCGACCACAGGCGCGGGCTTCACGTAGTACCCGTGGTAGGGGTCGACCACATCGGCGTCGTCGGCCACAGGCGCAGCGTAGTACGGCTTGCCGTAGTAGTACGGGGCCGACATGTCGGGGTCGACCTCCTCAGGCGCGGCGTAGTACGGCTTGCCGTAGTAGTACGGGGCCGACATGTCGGGGTCGACCTCCTCCACGGGCTTCACGTAGTATGGCTTCTTGTAGTAGTACGGGTCACTGGCGGTGTCCTCGGGCGCCACAGTGACGTAGGTGGGGTAGGAGGGGGCAGTGGGGTAGCCCATGGCTGCCATCTGCTCCTTGGACCAGGTGAGCTGCCTGGCGTTGACGGCCTGCGCCACGGGAAACAGAAGCGCCGGTCAGCCGCGAGGCGCCGGCTTGGCTTCGCAGGTCCCGCGCCGGCTGTACCGGTCGAAGTACTCTCTGACTGGCCGACGCCCAAAGTGTGGGGCGCTCATGCCGCTCACCCCGCTCGTCGCGTTAAGGTCGCTGGATATGCATTTCTGAAAAGCCCACTCAGGGGGCTCGAAGCGCAGGCCGGGAACTGTGAAGCACAGGGAGGCCCCTGACCGCCGCACCGCCGGGCCCTTGCGGCGGGCGGGTGGCCCTTTCTAGAGACGCTAGCCCGCTGGTTGGGACCTCGGCTCAAGATTATCGGACCGGTCAGAAGGTATCCATGCACGTGCCGTGAAAGAAGGCGTTTCCTTGCGCGGTCTTCAGGCAAGGCGCAGACAAGAGACAGCAGCGGCGCTGTGAGCAAGCCACGAGCCAGCAGAAACGCCCCATGCCAGCCCTAGTGCTTGCGCAGCGAAGCGCGACGGACACTCACCATGGCCAGAGCCAGGATGACCGCCACAGCGAGCTTCATTTTAGTTAGCTCCGAATAACTTATATGTGGTTCCTGCGCACGAAACAGACAGCTGTGAGCGCCGGTCTCGGGCGCAACTGGCCTTGGGGCAACCTCGAGGCTGCCGGCCATGAGGACGCTGAGCAGCTTGAGCCAACCGAAGCGGGGGCCGGGGGGAAGGCGCGGAGCGGAGGCCGCCCGCCGCAAAGGCAGCGCGAACACTCCCTGGCGCGACATTGAGGCCAGCACGCGCGAACAAGCGGCCAGGTCAGCGTCCATCCCAAGCGGGCACCACTGCGGCCGCGGCGCGCCACCTCACTTCAAACCCACACCAGTGTGCATGGAAACATCGAAAAGCACCGGGCAGGGCGCGAGGTAAGGCGCATCCGGGCTCGGCGCCCCGCGGAGACCACTCACAGTCTTCCTCTTTTCTTGACCCCGAGTCCTCCTTCAGGCGTCCGAGAACGCCTCTCCACTCGACTCCTCTGGCCCCACCACAAATGGTGCCGGCCTCAGCTCCCCCGTGTCATAAATACCCCCCACACCATGAAGGGAGCGGGCTCACGCCTCTCTCGGACCTCGGATCCCGTGATCGGGATCACGCCACGCTGAGGGGGCGCGTTGTACTTGAGTGATGGGCCTGATGCGCGCGACGAGCGGCGCTGGCCGCCCATTGCGGTAATTTCATGGGCCTTATCCGCCAACGTCAGCCCCCCCGCAGACTGATCACACGATCCAACAGACGAGTCAAACCATTCGCAGGCGGTTGAGGTACCGCATGACGCCCGCGCCGATTGATCCGCGCGGGGGGCCCACAGCATCTGCTGGGCCAGGAGCCCCACTGGCGCCAACAATCCTTTGTCATGCGCTCCGTCGGGGTCCGTCTACAGATTTAGGTGCAAACGGGGCGCCCCCCGCCACTGAAGTACAGGCGGGGGGTCCATTGCGCCGTCGTCCTCGAACTAGCTCACATCTCAACGGCGCACTGCCCATGTGCACTCCGGTGGGTGCCTGTGTGCATGGGGCTTCGGGAGCCATGTGCAGTCCGCACAACGTGCCGGTGCGGGAAGGACAGCGCCGGGCCAGGACACAGTTGTGCCCCCCTCAGCTTTTCAGTCCTGCAAGCGGCAGCACGTCTCTGTCGTCGCCAAGGCGACCAGCGTTTGTCGTGCATTAACGCATGGCGAAGAATCGTGGAAGAAGTGGATGCTTGAGAACGTGATGAAAGAATGCTAACATTCTTACACCACATTCTCATGCATTCACGGCGCTTGCATGGGATAAGCACACGGTGGCTATCATTGAGACGCCGGTGTGAAGCTGCTCCGAGATGCATCGCGACTACTATTCAGGACACCGGCGCAGACAGGCTTGGTTTTACGCCGCAAAAACTGATCGTATTTACATTTTTACGCGTAAAAATTGTGTAAAAATGCGTAAAAATACGTAAATACAACGTAAAAACTGCCGGGTGTACATAAGGACAGTACATACAGACTTACGAAGTCCGGAGAGTGGCGGCCAGACACCCTGAAAGGGGTAGAAAACGAGGTTTTGTTAAATACCATCATCGCCCTTGCCAAGGGCGAGGTGGACACTGTGTTGCGGGTGCTGGATATGGCGGAGCAATTTTCATCGTGTAATCTGGGCGTCCCAGGGCACCGCAAAAACGTGAAAATGGCCGTAAAAATAGGCCCTTTCGCAAATTTACATTCTTACGTGTAAAAACGTAAAAGTAAAAACGTAAACGTAAATGTAAAAACCAAGCCTGCTTGTTACATTCTTTCCGCATCACCAATACGGAGGATCTTCTGGTTTGTGATTTTATTTTGGTGTGTGCTGGGTACTAATATTGGATATCAGCAGGCTCGTTATTTATGTTTACGTTTTCGTTTTTGCGTTTACGTTTTCACGCGTTAAAACGTAAATTTGCAAAAGAAGCTGTTTTTGCGTTTTGACGGCTCGTTGTGACACCCAGGTTACACGATGGAAGTTGCGTACAGTGATCAGCACTCCGCCCCCTTGAGCGCCCGCAACACTGTGTCCACTTCCCACTCGGCAAGGGCCACGGTGGATTGGAGCAAAATTCGTTTTCTGCCCACTCCAGTGCGTCTGGATGCCATCCTTCGGAGTAGTGAAGGCTGTGTATACTGTCCTTATATACATGGAGATGTTATTACGTCGTTCTTACGTATTTACGTATTTTTGCTCGTTTCACGCATAAAAACGCAAAAACTATTCTTACGCGTAAAAGCGTAAATACGATTTGTGCTTATAGTGTAAATAACAAGCCTGGATATCAGGCAATTACTTGGTTTGGCAATAGGCAGGTTCAGCAAACCAACATGCGTTTCGGGATTGACAGGCGCTTGCCCGCGGGCTGTTTTGCAAATTTGCTATATCCTCAAGCATCAATTTGAGCAAATGCAATTCTATTTGTGTCCTGCCAGACTCTCTCCTTGTTATTATGCTGAAATTCAATGGCAATCGGCGAATGTCTGAATCTGGTGGCTGCCTATTTCTTTGCATGTGTTATGGGCAAGGAAAGTGTTGAAATTCATCCATTCTTTGATTTTTTCCATTCTTCAAATGTGCTGCTCACACAGGTGGCCATATCATGTGACTCACATGCGGCGACTCATACGCGGTGAAACTGGCGGCGCAGCTCCAGACGGGGCTTGTTATTACGCCGTAAACATAGGTCGTATTTACGTTTTCACATTTAAAAATTGTTTTTACGTCTTTGCGCGTAAGAAGACGTAAATACAACGTAAGAACAGCTCCGTGTACATAAGGACAGTATATACAGCCTTCACAACTCCGGGGAATGGCATCCAGACGCACTGGAATGGGCAGAAAACGGATTCTCTTCCAATCCATTGTGCCCCTTGCCGAGTGGGAAGTGGACGCTGTGTTGCGGGTGCTCAAGGGGGCGGAGTACTGATAACTATACGCAACTTCCATCGTGTAAACTGGGCGTCACAACGAGCCGTCAAAACGTAAAAGCAACAGCAAAAATAGCTCCTTTTCCAAATTTACGTTTTTACGCGTAAAAATGTGAACGTAAGAACGAAAACGTGACCGTAAATAACAAGCCTGGCTGCAGATATGGCTGACACTTCATTCTATTGTTGACTGTGCGTGGGGCAGGGCTGCTCTCGCACAAGTTTTTGAGCCGACCTTGCAAGCTTGCTGTCTATGGCTAAGTGCTTCCCTGGATAACCTGTGAGTACGCTTGTACACGCACACATGTAAACGTTGGTGAATATTCATGAACGTGAGCCATATGTACATAGAGCTGGGACCCAGGCGCATCATGGAATCTGGGACAGCTCGATGGAATAGAGGACGGCCAAAGGGGGAACGGACAGCGGCTGTGTTTCGACGACGACGTCGCTCTTTGCGAGGGCAGCGTGGATGTGGTGCTGGGTGTGCTCGAGGAACAACGAGCAGGTGAAATGTAATGGAAGTGCGTAATATTGTGGGGATTTCGCAACGTAAATATCATAAAATGCATGCACGTCAGGCACCTTTAGATTTAGTTCGCTGGAATGGTGGTCGAAAAATGCCTTGGAACATTTGTTTTGCCCCCTTCAGTATGCAGCGCTGACACGAGGACATAGCAATTTTCCACTCGCTTCCAATCCTTGTCTCCAGGGTTAAGCAAGTGTGTTTTGACCTTGCAACAATGCTAGGCAGCACGGCGACACCAACTCGAGTCACCCAGTGTCGAGCGGCAACTGTGCATTGATGATGGGCTTTGCATGTCATCAATTACTCGATTCTTCAAAGTACCTTGTTTCAATTGCCTAAGCGCAGTGGGGCTTTGAGAGAGATCGGGTTCGTTATGCTGGCTTTGCATCCTTGCCTGCTGCATTTTAAACTGACATAAACCTATGACTGATGGGCGTCCAGTTACAGAATTACGGGCAAAGGTAGAAATATTCAACTGGGGACAAAACGAAAGATGGCTCATTGCCAGTGGTATCACGCTGCTGTCATGCATTGCAGAGTGCTCTCCTCTTTCTGCAGCCCGTGCGCCAGTGTGCAGGGGGAATAGATCGCCGTATGCATTTCAGCACGACATGTATCGGTCACTAGGAGAAAAAGGGCCGAATAACACGTGCTCAAACGTGTACAAAGTTTACGGGTTTGTGTTATTTTTCTGTTCTTAGCATGCAAAACTTTGACGAAATGTGTTTTATGCGTGTTCGTAAAAGTGTTATTTGGCGCTTTTTTCCCAGTGGGTGTTGCACCATGCACCAGTACACATGCAGTGTGGATGGTGCGTGAAACCACACTTTGAAAGAGCCCCGCCCTTTGTGCCAGTTCTGGATCGTTTTCGGCGCATGCAGCATCGACAGCAATTCAGAAATTCTGCAATGCCATCTGTGAAACAAGAAGCAGCTGCCAAAACAGGCCTATTTGAAACTATTACGACTTGCAAGTTGCATTATTCAATTGAATATGACCAACATTTGATTTAGTTCCTTCTAAGCGTAAATATAATATGCTTGCAGAAATTGAATGCGCCAACAAGAATGTGGAATCCCATGCCAAGTCGGCCTTCCGTCCACACTCAAAACACAATTGACCATATATTAGTCCCTCTGCCTTTTCCTGAAGATCCCTTCCTCTTCCGCTGACAAGGCCAACGTGGGGCAGTGGTTTTTAGGGTTCAGGGCGTGGAAATAAGAAGGGACCTTCACGGAAACGACAGAGCGACTAACTTCATGCCATCACCAAGCGCCCTCGTTCCAGTACAGTTACCTCGTACCCTGCCTTACACAAACGTCTGAATCAGGGCGAACCTGGCTCGTTGAGCGCCCCAGCCCACCTGGCGCCTACTTGCCAGTGGAAGCCGCGGCCCATGCATCACACCTGACGCCCCGCTTTCTCACCAATCGGCGCTGCGGCTGATTGATTTGTGGAAGCTGTGGCCAGCTGGGCGCCTGAGCCGCGGCTCCCTGTGCCCAGGGCGCCAGCACCGGCGGTCCGCCGGCGTCAAGGCTGTCCGGCCCCCAGGGTGGGTGGGAATGCACGGCGGGCCGATCGGGGTGGGTTTTTGACGGGGAGCAAGAGTTTGTTAGAAAATTTTCAAGGGGTTTTCGGGGGCGGTTGACATGGGCCGCGGATGGCGCCCCGGGGGAGAGCGGGCACCTGGGATTGGCAGCTGGCGCGCGGTGGGGAGGGCGGGGCTGATGGAGTGAGGGGTGCTTTATGGGGACCCCACTGAGGAAGGAAAAGGATCTGAAGGGGATCTCTTCTCTAATCTTTTGGGGGGCGGGGGCTGCGGGGTCCTTGCCGCGGGCCCGCGCCCCGCTCACGCACGTCACTGGGCCGCCGGCGCTGAACGCTGAGCCCCGGCCGGTGGAAGGCGGATCATGCCTTGCGAGTGGCCAGCGAGGTGGGCGATGAGAGTACGGCGGCACTGATTATCCCGTAAGGGAAGCAGCTAAAAAGCGCGCGAAGGTGGGGTAAAGCGCGCTGTGGTCGAAAATCGACACAGCGGCGGGGGCGAAGACCTGCACACAGTTTGAACCTGTCTGTTGGTACTGCCAGTTGTCCAGTTGTTGTCCACGTTGTGGGCTGTCCATCTGGTGTCTTGCCCTGGGCTGGCCAAGGGATCACAGAGCTCCTGCTGAATCATGGGGAAGTGCAAAGATGCCTTGCACTGGTGCTGCCCCGTTGGCGTGCCCCAAATGAGGGCCCTGCGTGGATATTCGCAGCAAGCGATGCCTGCACTGGAAAAGAGAGAAGGTATGAAACTCGGTGGAATGTGTGCGCAGTGCATTCCTGGCAGATTCTTCTCGTGCACTCAATTGTCGCCCACATGCGTGCAATATGTGTTCCACAGCAATGTGAGGATCTCAACCGACCCTTATCACCTTTTCACTTGCCTTCTTCTGGGGAGGTCCCTCAAATCTGTTTCTGCACCCAAGCGCCACCGCTTTTCAAAGACTGCAAATCGGTGTTCTATTGAGTTGTACAATGCACACCATGCTGCGTGTGTTCAGTCATCTCATGCACATGACCAATCTGCAGGACTGATGATCGACAGCCACCCGTGCACAAGGGGTAAATATCAAACTCTGAAGTGACGGACAGGCCCTAAGAAGGCCATGCCGCTCTCCCAACCTATCCGCTGAAATTTGCGTCTTTTTCACTACTTGGTTTCGGGGTTCACGTCATGCAAATCCGCCGGACAGGCAAGGGGCATGCTTGGATGTCGGGCTGCGGTGTGGAATGGTACTCCAGGGATTGGACTACACTCTTCTTGCCCCTGGATAGGTGGTTTGGCAGGGCAGTGGGACATCTCATCAGAGGTGCCTGGTCCGATCCCCGGTTCAGTCATCCTCATTGTCGTCCGCGCTTCAACACGGGCTCCAGCAGACTACCCTTCCACCGTGTTCTTTCCCCCAGAACCGTGACAATTTTTTATCCGGGAAGCCAGGGGGGTGCGGGTACAGACCACAAGCACGGAGACAGGACTGAGACGAGTCTTAGACGGAGACCCCGTACATACTGTTGGTTTTTAAGCCCTTCCGCAACGGAAATTCTTGCCGTTACCCTCTTCGCTCTGCAGTTGTTTTCAGAGCGTTAATTTTTTGTTATTTTTACGTTGCTTCGCAACATTTTACTAGAAGAGCGTTATTTATTTTATTGTTTTCTATGCAAAACAACGCAGAAAAAGCCAAGCGTTGCGTTGCTATCCGGAAGGGCTGCAAAAAAAGCACCGGTACGCTCCCAAACCCGGGCCCCCCACCCCCACCCCGTGCATTAGAGAACCGTGCCCGGAGGTTGAGGGGGGGGCATACGAAATGTCAGTATTCGACGGCGTGTTCGGGCCCGGCGGCGCGCAGCCGCACAGCTCGCTGTTCGGCGCCGACAGCCAGTTCAGGAGCGAGGGGCAGGCCGCATGCGCGCCCGGCGCCGCTGCGCGCGAAGAGGTCCGTTCGCGGGGATGGAGGCCCGTCGAAATGGCGACGGCCAGTATGGGAATCTGCGGCTGGGCGACCGATCAGAACGCCGGTGCTCTGCGATCCCTCCGACTGCTCTGGAATTCTGGAATCTCAGAGTTGGTTGTTTGGATTGTTGATGAGGCAATGGGCCGGTTGCACGAGCTTGCCTATCGTGATTTGTTCCCTGCAGCCGCAGTACGGTCGCGACTGCCGCCAGCGGCACTCGCCCACGATCGCCGCGGCTTTTGCCTCCGCCCCGTTCTCCGCCGATCCCCACAATCGGCTCCAAGGCGCGCATCCGATCCTCGCGACCTGCTGCTCCCCCAAATGGCCTATTTTTGGAAGGGATCTTTAGGCTGGATAAACTTTCCTGTTCTTTGTCCGGAAAACAATTGCAGGAAGAGAAGAAAGAGAAGAAAAAATACTGATATTCGGGCGGGATGTTTGAGCTATACAGACTTTCTCTTGTTTGTCCGGGAAAAAGTGTGCACAAAGAGGAAAAGAATGAATCAAAATCCTTACAGGCAACGTGAAAAATCGACGCAAATGGTCATGCGTCTCAAAGAGCAAAAGAAAAAGAGAAGCTTGTCTATGGCCAGGCGGCGCCGCACCGTGCTGAATCGACCCGCAGCAGGGTGAAGAGGAAGAAGGCGGGGGCCGGCGCTGGGGAGCATGCGGCGCCGGAGGCTCATGGGGAGGCCGCCCGCGACTCTGGCGGGGGTTCTCGGGATGCGATGGGCGCGGAGGGGCCGGCAGGGCCCGACGCCAAGAGGGCGAGGAAGCGGGCGGAGAGGATGGCCACGCCCGCCGAGTGGTTCAGCTCCGGGGAGGACGAGGAGGGGGAGGCGGGGGGGGAGAGGCCCCGGCCCCGGCGCAAGAAGGTGAACAAGAAGATTTCCTACATGTGGTGTAACGACAAATATGCATGTCCCCTTCCATGCTATGCCCGCAATCCATTACCCATCAAAATGTATCATGGCCACGTCCAGGGCCGCCCATGTGGCACCCCACTACCCCAACAATCTCTGGCAAGGCAACTCTGCAAGAATGTGAGGATTGTATCGTTGGCGTTGGGTGAAACGCGTCTGTGCCAATTCTGGAGGGGTACTGCCGTGCTCATGGTGTGTTCCCTTGTGTGATGTGTGGCAAAAAGAATTGAGTGTGTTCTGTAAATGGAGCCTCCAAAAACCAAAGGTGCCATTTGATGCCTGAGAGTAGTCAGGGATTCTAGAGCATGAAATGTTTGTCCAATGAGACAAGAACGTGCATTTTAAGGCAAGACCACCTGCATGGGGTTTCCCAAGCAGCATCGCTCTCCACACTGGCCCCAGCGTAATGCAGTACCTGGTCTGTAGCAACTATAGGAACAGCACCCTCTCGCCCAATGTGTGCAGATGGCCAAAATACTGAGTATTCGATGTTGTGCCAGAGAAACGAGGAAATAGGGCTCTGAAGTGATGAAGTGATGAAGTGATGAAGTGACAGGGTTTTAGCAACTGCCTGAAGGGAAGTGTCCCTTTCAGAAAAGAAATAGGAAAAGGTCCGCAAGGTGGCAATATTTCGTGGCTTGCATGAATTGCAAGCATGCTTTCCTATCATGGCAGCGCATTGACACCTGTTTTGTGGGTGGGCAGAGAAAGTTGGACAGCAAGGATGCCGCTGAACTGAAGACAACAATTTTTGTAGGCAATCTTCCAGCAACAGTGGAGAAGAGGCAGCTGGAGCAAATCTTCCAAAGGCAAGTGCACACAAAGGCCTGCTGATGCGTTTTTCGTTTCCCTGCATTATTATTCGGTTTCAGAAATTTCCAATCTGGGATGCAGTCCCGATATGGGACATGTCTTGGGGTTGAACTGATGTTCCGCTTCAGCACTCTCGATTCATGTATGAACTGATTTGCAGTGCATAATATGAGAAAATGAAACAGAATTGGGTCAAAGGGTCCACAAATTATGCCTCAAACTAAGTTAGTTTCCAGAGCTGGAAAACTGGGATACACGGGCTGGAATCAAAGAGCAGTTCTGGAAGTGTGCTCTGCAAGAGGGCGCTGCCTTGTTGGAACGGAACGAAAGTGCATGCTTGGCTGCTTTGCACTGTGCAAAGCCTTATTACCCGTTCACGCTTATCGCTGGTGCAGGTATGGGGCGATCGAGTCAGTCCGCATCAGATCCATCCCTGTAAGAGAGGGCACAAAGATGCCCAAGCGCGCAGCGGCGCATAAGGGAGAGGTGAACAAGGGCGGCACTTGCAATGCCTATGTAGTCTTTGCGAAGAAGAAGTCAGCCAAGCAGGCACAAGGGATGAATATGACTATGGTGAGCACGGAACAAGTGGAGGACAGAACAAAGGATGTGATCTCCAAGTTTGAATATTTGGTGAGAAGGTGGCAAAAAAGCATATGAGGACAGTGTACAGGTTTAGTGTGGAAAAATGTAACGGAAAGGGATCTGCACATACTGTCAACAGGTGGCTAAATTCAGCTGACTGGAGAATCCTCTTGATCCTTCCAGAATTTCAAACAACTGGCAGAAAAGGAGCCAGCCATGCAATGAATGCAACATGTGGGCAAAAAGTACCATGTTCATGACTACCCCAATGGAGCTGTTCACAGGATCTTTGAACTAGCAGAGCGAGATCGACAAAGAATGCCTTGGTTGCCTGCTGAGCCTGTCATACGAATCTCCAACAGTTGTGGAGGATGTCCATGTTTGACATTAGTGGGAATTGTGTGCAGTTTGAAGGCCGCCACTTGCGTGTGGATAGGGCTGCTCAGCGTGCAGGAATGATAGCTGAAGGGTCGACTATCGTGGCTGACTCGATTTACGACTCCAGGAAGAGCGTGTTTGTTGGAAACCTGGACTACAGTGTGGAGGTGTGCCGTTTGCTTGCTCTCACTTGTTTGTTGCCAATCCTTCCAGTAGTCGTGTCAATTAGTGTGGATGGAATTTTCATTGTAACTGAAAACATTGTGGACAGATTTGCCACTGCCATTGCTCTGAAAAAGTGACCACCACGTTGTGGCACGTTTGCACAGACCTGAGCAGAGATGATTCTCACCTGTAGCAGTGATTACTCTGATCATTCCATCTGTGCTTCTTGGTCCGCAGTTTTGGATGGGCTGATGAATTTGTTTTGAACACACACCACCTGATGATGAGGGGAGCCTAATATTTGTGTTGTAGCTGCTTTGTAGCTTGGTCTCTGCACCAGTTACTGTACCCTTGACCCTGAGCCCTGAGTGCTAAAAGAGATTAGTTTCAGCAAAGGGTTATGTTCTATTAGCACATGTCCTGTTGTGCAGTTGTTTGTATTGACTTTTGTTTGTGCTGCTGATTTCTTGAGTATAGTACTGTCGTGCATGTCACATGCCACATCCCACATACCTCATGCTCATGCACAGCCGTGCCTTAGCCTACAGTCGTTTTCTCCTGCGACTCAGTCTGTTGCACAGCAGAATTAATCACTGCAAAAGGCATCCAGCTCTGGCAGTACCTCATGGAGGGCAATACGAATGGGTATTTGATGACACTGTGCCACACGTTGCCCATTTTCTGGGCATGCCCTCGATGCATTGAGATGATGTACGGATCAGGACTGTGTAGCAATGAGTATCAGGAATGTGCTCAGCTCTGAGTTCAGTTCTGTGGCTGTGCTCAGGATGAAGATCTGATAAGGCTCTTCGACGATGGTGGCGCAGCACCACTGTGTGCTGGGATGGTGGAAGCCGTGCGTGTGGTGCGAGACGTCAGAACACGCCAAGGAAAAGGAATTGCATTCGTGAAATTCAGGACAAGGGTGGGTGATGATGATGTCCTAGAACTGGCCATGTGACAGCCAGATGCTCTGCTTAGTCAACAGGATGCCAGTGATAGTCTGGGATGGCGGCATGCTTTGGGAACCTGGTTGAACCCTGTGCCTAACACTGTAGGTTCCCAATAGAAGGAAGAAGTTGAGCAAATGACAAAAAGGAAACATAAAATGATGAAGTAGTGAACTTACACTAGAATTCAAACTTGCGCACACCTTGTTTCAGGAAACCTGAAACATTTTCCAACTCCACAGCAATCAGCAGTGGAAGTTGTGACGATTGTTTGGCATTGTTTGATTGAAAACCCACTTGGCTCCATGCATACAAAACTCAGATCTGGTTTTGATTGTGAATGGTATTGGCACATTCCTGCAGGAGGCTGTGGCCGCTGCAATGCGACTGGACGGACACAAGTTCAAGAATAGAGAAATTCGCATCAAGGCTGTGGACAAACCAAAGTCGAAAAAAGGTGGAGATGTGGTTGAGTAGATGCCCTGTTGTCGGGCAACATTGCAGACATTTCCCATCCTATTGAAGCCTGCAATACTGTCTGAAGGCTTGTAGAAATGCCGAAACTTTGAACTGCAGATTTGCTACAGTTTCTGAGCAGGACGTCTCATTCTGTGCATTCTCATGCTGGTTGAAACTGTTAATTTGGTAGCTGCTATTTCAGCACAGATGTCTGAATATTTTCAAATATGCATCCACTGTAGAATCTGAAACAAAAATCGTGCGCCATTCCTGTTGTTGTACTAAAGGCGGCTGTGCGCTCTTGAGTACGCTTCCCCACCTCGATTCAAGATTCTGATGTGCTGGTGTTTGCTGCGATTCCCCTCTGGAACCCCTTACACCATTTTCTGCTGCACAACGATCTGGTGGCCTGACTTTACCCATTCTAACTCATCGTCTTGACACCTCATCTCCAAGTAGAGCGAACATGGTGGACTGCAATGTGCCTGCCATGGCATTGCAGTTCCAAGAAGTGTTGTGCTAGGATATGACGAATAGTTGAACAAACACTCGTCTTCATCATGGATCAATATTGACTGTCACTGTTGCTTGATTATCTTCAGCTGTTGCTAGTGTTTCGCACGAATCTCAATTTTGTTTGTTGGCCGTTGAGGGCAGCTGTACAGAACTCTCAATCTGCCTATTTCTATTTTTTTCGATGACATTTAACATGAGAGACCAAACGCCACCCTTGCACCAAATGGGGGATGAAGGCGCACGCCACCTTCCAAACTATTTTTTGCCTGGCTAGCAGCCCATGTTCAGGCTCCTCAATGCACCTTGCCTCGCCCAAGGCACCCAAGCACTGGCACACCGCGTACCTTGGATCAAGGGCAAGGGCCAGGCACATGCACTCAAAGCTTACTTGGGCACTGTGTGCGATGGGTGGGGACAGGCTCAGCCAAGGGGCAGCTGCCGAGCGGTGGTGAACACAGCCTGAGCTGGCAGGGCGTCAGGACAAAGGGGCCAGGCAAGTCGGTTCGGAGCACCCCTGGAATGCACAAGGAAAGGCGTGCCACCAAGAAAGGCCCACGGAGGGAACCTGCGTCGGGGGGGAAGCACTCCAGCGGCGGGCGCGGTGGGGAAAGGGGGTCATGGCGTGGTGGGCGGGGGGGGCGGGGGGGCTTGGGCGGGAGGGCGATGCAGGGTGGGCGAGATCAGGGAGGTGGTGCAAGCGGAGGCAGGGCCGGGAGAGGCGTGCGGGGTGGCAGGGGCAGGGGGGGTAGGAGAGGAGGGGGTGGCCGCGGTGGCGGTCCCTGACCAGGAATCTTTGTGTGGAAATGTAATTATTTCTGTCATGCTTTCTTGTTGCAGCATCTGGCATTTTGCTTGTGCTTGTTGTCTGCAGGAGGCAGCCGCATTCCGGGTCGTGTGGCGGTGTGGCTTTGATGCGTAGATTGCATGCGATGGAAGAGTTGGGAGTGGGCGGAGTTGGAGCTGAGGTGCCAACTGCCAGCTGATCGTACTGCGTTCATGCGTCTGGAGGCCATATGACGGTCGCACTATGTATATACGTGTTCCGGCCAGTTGCCCAGCCCAAAGGCCAGTGTTGATATTTGTTCAGCAATGGAATCAAGATGCTTGATGGCCCAATTGTTATTAAACAAGTTGTTCACATCTGCCAGCAGCCATTCAGTTTGACCCATTCGATACACCAGACGTTCAGACTGTTGTCGTCAAGTTCTATCGACATACTACTGAATCTTACTGGCCCACTTGTAGTAATTGATGAACATGTTGACTCGAAAGAATATATATTTGTAATGGCTTGACCACATCCATGGCAGCAGAGGGGACCTGTTGTGACCGATGCGGTGAGGGTCAAGTTGCACGGCCTCTTAATGTCGAGGGCTCTTGCACAGCTCTTTCCAATTCACCAAACTGCGGGTCAAATTGGGAGCAATTCCGAATAGGATTCGTTCCCATTCTTAGTCGTGTGAAATGGTGCCGCAGCTTAGTTCGCGGTACCCCCTGGAGCCGCTGCCACGCGCATAACAGCTCAGGGATGCTTGGGGGCCAAGCGGACGCCATTTGCCCCGGTGTGTTCCGTACAAACTGAATTGAGCCGACATGCCATGCATTCCACTGAGGAACATGAGGTCAGCGCGATAAAAACGAGAGGCAGGGACCCCAGCGCGGGGGGTGCAGTGCTGCGGCGCTGCAGTACTTTGTGAGGACATTTGAGAGGTGCATCTGTTGTATGGGAGCCCATGTGCCATGCACTGGAGGCGGCTGCGCCAGCGCCGCAATATTTTGCGAGTACACCTGAGAGGTGGATCCGATGTGTGGGAGCCCGTGCGCCACGCACTGGAGGCGGCTGCCCCAGCGATACGGTACTTTGCGCCCACGGTTGAGAGGCGCATCGGATCTTCTTGGGGGCCCCAAGAGACACGAACGAGAGGGGCCGATGTCGTCGCTGCACCGCTTTGGGGATGCGCTTGAGCAGGGTGCCGGGTGCATGAATCATGGAAGGGCGCCCCTGCTCGTCATATGCGCTGACGTCATGTGCTCCGAGATGTATCGAAACCCGGAAAACAGGGCCGCTTCCCGTATTTCTCGGCAGGGCGGGGCAGTGCAGTGCAGTGTGGTGGGTGGGATGCGAACACGGGGTGGGGAGCGACACAGATTCCATGCATGTGCACACCGGGTGCGCACACGCACATGTACCGGAAGCGTGGATCGATGCACGCACATGCCCACGGCGAAAAGCCAATACATTTATACGCGAATACGAGCCAGGCGGGAACAATCAAGCATACGACGCACGGGCGCCCTGAGGTGCACCGCCGACGCCATGGCGGCCCTAACGCTGCGACAGCCGGCCGATGCTCCACCCCGGGGGGCAAAAAGAAAGCAAGAAGACGATGAAAAAGAAGAAAAGGATGAAAAAGGAAAAACAAAAAAGAAAAACAGGAAAAAGGAAAAGGGGAACAGGAGAAAAGGTGTGGAGAAAAAACTCCTCCCACCCCCCCTTTTCGCGTCACGCCCAAACTGCGTTTCTTTCGTGGTGTTCCCGCCAATCTCACCATCTTCGGCCGCGGTGGCGGGTGGTCCGCCGGCGCCATGCCTCCGCTGGCCTCCCCACCGATCGCCCTCGCGGAGTGCCTGGCCTTCCTGGGCCTGGGCTACGCGCTCAGGTCCGCGGAGGTGTTCTCCGAGGCCGACGCCAAGGTTCGGGCACTGGCAAATCTGCCAGCCTGCGGCGCTCCTGGCAGATGTCAGCGCCTATGGTGCATCATCTCGCACAGGGCGGAGGACAGCCTGGCGGGATTGCTGAAAGCGGGGCCGCGAATCGTGTTTTGTGGGATGTTGCGGCCAGTCGTTTGTGCTGGAGAGAGGGTCTTTGCCGTGCATGCCGTGCGCGGCCTAGTGATTGTCGCGAGGGGTCTCTTGGTGGAATGGATCGTTGATGTGGGCGTGTTGCTTTGTGGCCTGCGCAGACCGCGGTGAGGGCGGTGGCGTGGTTCACTCTGCCGTCGCTGATCCTGCAGGCGCTGTGCGGGTGGGTGGATTCGGGTCGAGTGCTGTTTTTCGAATTGCGCGCCAAGCGCCTGCGACTGAGAGGCGACGATGAGCGCAACGGCATCGGATCGAGTTGTTCGCGACGGCGCGCATTGGCAGAGCGATGCATGCGGGTGGGATGAGCCGCCAGGTCGCGAGGAATGTCGGAACTCGGTGGGAATCATCAGTGTTCGTGAAAAAGGTTCCCACAATGCACGGTGCCGGCGGAGCTGAATGCTCGCCGTGTCCACCTTGTCCCAAGGGCGAAGCGGGGCCCTTGCACCCACAAGGCGATGACGGGCACTGTCGATTGCCCGACTGCCCGTCGCCGGGGCGCGCATTAACTGTCCCACACGGCCTCCCCGCGCTTGGCGCTGACGACTGGTGCGAATGGGAGGGAATTGTCGGCGGAACCGGAAAGCATGCCCTCGATGGGCGCTGGGGGCGTTCGGGCCATCTTGCGTCGGGACACACTGCCTCGGCGTTGAAATCAGTGGCTCGAACGTCGGCCTGGGGTGTTGGATTTCACCAGCAAACACGCGCTTGGGCCAGTGCCCTCCGTTCCAATCCAAGTCGCGTTGGGTTTACCTACGTGACGTGTTGAACACGGCAAGTGGCTCAAAGACCATAACAACGCCCTCGCGCCTTGCAAGCGCATGTCGGGCGCAGGAACCTCCAACCTGCGTTGACAAAAATGCCGACGCTGTAATTCTGTACGCTGCTCCATTGCGCGGCGCGAATGTCGGCGTGGGTTGTCTTCGTGTGCAGCAGTGCTTCTGGGCCGGTTGGGTGCATGTCGGGCGCAGGAAACTCCAGCCAGCGTTGACAAAAAATGCCGACGCTGTAATTCTGTGCGCTGCTCCATTGCGCGGCGCGAATGTCGGCGTGGGTTGTCTTCGTGTGCAGCAGTGCTTCTGGGCCGGTTGGGTGCAGGTCGTCGAACCCGCGGCGCAGAATTGCAGTTGGCATGGCTGCACGCATCGGTCGGACTCTAAACTGCACTTGAAATGCCTCCAGAGGTGCTTTAGGCAGCGATCTGTGGCTGGGGAAGGCGACAGGGAGAGAAAGTGCGCGAGGTCCCTGATACCCCACAGGGAAACACGGGACCCAGGTGATCAGAAACATTCCAATGACTAATTACATTCCAAGGCCTAATGTGTCCATTGGCTATGTTCAATGCTTGATTACTACTGCATCCACTGATATGCATATTCCCAAGCTCAGAAGTTTCACAGTCAGAGCACTCGATTAATGCCAAGCACGTTTGCCAGAATGTCCAATTGTTTGTCAACATCCCAAGAACTCATCATGGCAGCAGAAATTCCAAAATACTTCAGTCGTCTTTTTCTTCCAAAGTAAACTGAACTTGTCATGGCAGCAAGATTGCTACCATTCCACACCTTTGTGTGGAACAGGTGGGCCCTGCGATTGCTAGTTCTCCTAAACACAATCGCACAGGAGCTGAGGGTCTAGATTCAAAAGGGATGTACAAATCTTGCATCAATTGTACTTGTCAAGCGCGGCAGCTGTCTGCACTGGCAGATGGAGTTTGCCCAGCTGGTCCACCTGGCAGCATCGTTTGGTGTGGTATCAACAGGCCATTGACTGTCAGTTTGGATTTCAGGAGTCAGAAAAGGAAGATGAACGGCCTATTTCACAGCTGCTGATCAAAGCTGTGATGCAGATATAACAAAGGCAGGGAACCGACGTTGAAAAGTGTGCCCGGGTGTCGTTTGTTCCTGCTCACCTGTTAAGTCACACATATCCAGTGCGGGCAGGGGCGCGACTCCGACCCAGTTCACGTCATCTGCATGAACACCTTCAGTTAGCCCACTTGCGTGGCAGTGCAAAGGAATGCAAAAACCTTGCAGAAAGACACTGCACATGCGCCTGCATAGTGTCGCAAGTAGCATCACACAGTGTCATCACAGCGTGGCATCAAATGTTGTGCACATGTACCCAGTCATTGAACTGTGAATCTCAAAACTAGGCGGTCAAAGTAGGGATTGAGACAGAGGGAGCGGTGCATTCCCTCACCACTGCGCTGAGTCGTCCTATGCTTTGCTGGCTGTCAGTTCTCCGCCGGTGGAGCTCTGGGGAGCACCTTCATTTGCTGCTGGTGTTGTCTACACCTTGGCCCTGGCATCAGCAGGATGGCAAGTGACAGCGGCTTGGTGGCTTGGCTTTGCTTTTGATATGCCCACCTGGTTAAACTCAAGGAATTCTATCTGAGTTTCAGGGGTCAAAAGCTCAGCAGAGCATGTATCTGTGTTGTGAGTGCTGGGAAGTTCATGCTTCCACAGTGCTTGTTGCAGAATGTGCATCCTTGTGTTCAAAGAGAGCCCAGGTTGTAACAGCCTGCTAGAAGTGCGAAATGTTGCTGATATCAACGGTGCTTGGCGCTGCCCCTTTGCAATTCAAGACATTGCATTCCTTTTAAGAATCCCATTGACACAAGAAAGTGCAAGGCGATGCAAAGCCCAACATATTCATGTTCGTGTTATGAAATTGGATGCACAATCCCAAAGAAGAGGAGTTGGGGATGCTGACCCCTCCCTTTCCCTCTCTGGTGCTTGTCAGAAATGACGGTTGGTAAACTAGATCAATGACAACGTTGGTTGTGTGCACACTTCTATCTGAGTGCATGTCCCCTTTCCACATTGGCTCTAACAACAGGAAACATATGTTGTTGGCCCTAACTGTGCATGCCACCTTTTCCCCCCATTTTCTTGCCTTTGGGATGGCATTGTCTGGCCAACATCGCCTTAAATTGACTGGACCCTATTTTCATCTCTTGTCAACTGTGAGCATAGGATTGATGCATCTGCACATTATTGGGCAATGCTGGCTCTGTGCGAAGGTCATCACATTAGGAAATCCACCAGCATGACAAGGAAACATTTTGTTACCTTAAGGTTGCTAAATTCAGTATTGTCCGTTGAATTGAAAGTTGTGATTAGATTCCTGTGTTGTTTGGTGCGGAACCGCAATGAGTCCAACCAATAACAACATTTGCAACACTGTATGCATGTTGGCCACTGAATGGCTCAACAGATATCAAGACGTTTCATTTGGCATCGTGCAGGTTCCTCTTTTGGAATCGACATCCCCGGCAACGCTCTCTGCTGATGGGTGAGGCGATGTGCTGAAAACGTAGAAAAATGCAAAGGACGATACGCTCTGCCTGATCGCAGTGTGTTTAGTTTCCGCGTTGCTTTTTGGAACACAGCTTGGTGGGGGTGGTTCGCTAATTTTCAGTGCGGAGAATTGGTCACCAAAGCCCAGTTTGAAGCCATCCTCTGGTTGGTGGCTTTCTTGTGCTGTGGTTGTTGTTGGTGACCAGAACGCTGCGCATTCACCGCCAAGACCATGGGGGGCAATGTTCCAGTAGTGGAACTGCTGCAGGACTGTCGAATCGTACTATTCCTGGGTTTGTGGATGACCCGTGCAGGTCATCTGTCCAGCGCTTGAACAACCGATCGGTCACGTGTCGATTCATTGCAGCTCCTTTTGATATCGGTGGCAAAGATGAGACAGCAGGAAAGGGGAAAAAGATTTGCAGTCTGGATTGATGCAAGGCGATCGTGACCCATCAATGCTGCTGCCACTGCAGGTTGCACAGTTGGCTCTTCTGTCGGTCTGATGGGGTATGCATTCGTGGAGGCTATTTGTGGGACGTCGGGAGTTCAGGCAGCAGTTCTCTTCGGATTTGCAAATATACTGGCAGGTATAACGAAGGTTGCTTTGAAAGGAGTGAATGCCAACCAACCAAACATGATCTTATGTTGATATTCTTTCTTTGTATATTTGTTGTTTGCTATCGTCATAACATCCTTGTTCTCTATCACACCATGAACATGTCTATGTAGGAACTTGAGCAATGAAAAGAAGCACACAGCAAGTTCTGAGTGTGATGATGTATTCTGTAAGGAGCGTTTTGACAGCGCTGCAACGATGTGGAATTGGCTGCAGAGGCCTTGCTGGGGTGTCAGCCAGAATCCAACAGTTGGCAGAAATGCCAGCAAACCAGTCCCTGATTCTTGAGATCCTGCTCTATTGATGTTGCAGTTTGTGCAACAGCTCGCCATATAGGCCCAGCAGTTTGCAACATTTGAAAGCGAGCAGACATCCACATCCACATGTCATCACGTGCACAAAGGAGTAGCAGTGTTTTAAATGCCCACTGGTTGTGGATGGAGGCATTGACAATGATTGATTGCCGCATGGTGGACAATAAGCATTCCATGGCAGACACACAAAATGTACCTCCTATGTAAGCATGGGCGCCACACAGGGCAGCTGTAATTTGACAGGGTGAATATGACAGGGTGAGCATCCTTGCACATGGCACGTGCCCAACTGTGTTGGAGACAGCTGCAAAGCAGCCACTCACTGCTGTCCAGGATTGCTCACACATGAACTCAGGTGTACTCTTGATTGTACTCCAAAACCATATTATCTATGAGCATGTCCTGCTTGTTGTCCTGCTTGTCTTGTTTGTTTTGATTGATAATTCAATGGCGCAGTGTGCGGTGCAGCTTTATGGTGTTCAGTGTGGAAGGCAAGGAGCATCAGTTTGACGCAGTCCAAGGCTGGCAGGTTTCACTAACATTCTGCCTGCTGGCATTGTGCAGTTCAAGTGGTGTCGTACCTGCTCTTTGCATCCACGGGCCCCGCCTTCCCCGAGAAATACGTGCATGCAGATGGGGGCATGTACAGAGGCCAATGGCAAGCCAGAAAGAAGGAAGGGCTGGGAGTGTACAAGTGCGGATTCGCACCTCTGACATCTGTGACGACAGTTGGATGTGGCATGAATGCTGTGGTGTATGTCTAGATTAGCCAAACACATGATATGGGACACTCTTGTTGCTCTGCGCTGAATAGAGGAAAGGTGGTTCGCTTTTTCTATTCGTTTTGCGTCAAGCTGGTTCAGTCCAGACTCTTGTGGCCGCAGCATCCTTGCTCTTACCTACTGGAAAGTACTGCTCCAACTTGATTTTCCCCTCTGGCACTGGAGTGGGTTTCTTATGGCAGTGTTTGTTGCACATCAAAATGCACAACCTTAACAACAGATTTGGCGATGACTGGTGCAAAACGTGATCGCTGAGGATCTTGGTTGCATGTGCTCAGTAGCTATCAAAACAAATATAACCAACTGCATACCACCACTAGACCTGTTCCTCAAAGGGTTGGTCTGCCATGCAACTGCCAATGTACCAATATGTGGGATGTCGTTTTTCCTGTGAGAACATGGGAGCAGATTCCATTGGTTTTCTGATGGCATGTGGCCACATCTGGGTTAGCATCTGTGTTCAAAGTCCTCAAGTGAGATGCAGTCTGGCATTGGTTCACCCCAGATCAGGGCCATGGCTATTGTCTCTGATGGTGCAGTCCTATTGTGAATGCTGGCTTATTTTATTTGGCAGCACATGCCAAAGACGCTTTCTTTGCACAATTTACTTCCTGGATCCACATATTTTTACCTTGTATTGTGCATGGTAGTGATTGAATTTTGGAGCCTGTCTTCTCAGCATTCACCGAGCTGGCCGATTCATGCAATAATTGTGTACAGATTCCTTCGCAGGGGACTACTCACAAGAGCCTTGTGGTGAATTCAAATGCGAAGCAAGTGAATTACCAGCCATAATTATTTATTTGTTCTCAGTCTGAATTTGGCTTTTGCGCCCCATCTCAGGTATCCTAGTGGGGCACGGTATGAGGGAGAGTGGCATGGCAATGAAAAGAGCGGGAGAGGCGTCTATTATTTCCAAAAGGTCAGTCCTGTTGAAGGAGAGCCTCTATGCCCCAAGTCCAAGGTGCCAACATCCTGCAATTTCAGGAAATGTCTGCATTAGCATATTGGCTGAAGAGTGCATGGACACCAGGGATGGCAACAGTCCCTCTCCATACTTTGTTGCCTGTTTGCCTTTTATCTGGCCTATTTTCTTACAGTACCAGAACTGCGTATGAAGTTGCATGATTGAGGAGTAATATGGCGACAATTGGGGACAGTTTGTCTGGCAACAGATGCAACACGACAGTCAGGATGTGACAACAAGCACGAGTGTGGAACGTGGCCAGGCAAAGGAACGAATATGCTTCATTACGTGTATCTTACATTTCAGTCATGGCGTGTACGTTCTTGAATGTCTCTGTCCATTAGATTTTGGGAGTATATCCATATCCCCATTTAGACTTAGCTGTATTTAATGTGCCTGAAGGCATGGATGTGACTTTGAGGGAATGCAATAAGTTGCAGGAGCAAGGTACTGTGGGTCCCAGAGTCACATTGCATTTTACTGGAAGATAATGTAAGTAATAAGAATGATAAGGTTGTAGGAATGGGAATACGTACAAACATACAATTATGCAATGTGTGTATTTAGGATAATGTGGATATTGGAGTCAGGCTCTTCTGCTCTCCAAACAGAGGAGGCTAACACTTCAGTGCTGATGTCCAGGGTGGCTTGTATGAGGGTGAATGGTTCAATGGCAGGCGAGACGGCTTGGGAACAAGGACATTCAGCACAGGCAAAGTGAAGGTGTTCATCGCAGTGTCAGCAATGCTCATTGACAGTGCAGGCGTTGTGGTGGCAAGAGCTTGGTGTTCATCGATCAGTTTGGAGTGTTTTCTGGACAGCATGTCTTGTTCTGGGTCACTGTACGGTAAACATGGTACAGTACCGCATTGCGCATACTGGTGCAGAGGTTCTCTTGGCAGCATGTCTTGTACTGCGTCGGTGTGCAGTCAGCGTGGTACGGCACCGTACGGTCCGGTACGGTAGAGTGTTCACCAACATTCCAGCACAGTCGTATTGCACAAGGTGTGCATTGTCAGCAGCACACTGGATAGAACCGCGAGACCATCAACTTTGCTGGCTGGATCCTGGTGTCGCACAATGCTTGGGGGTGGAATCAGGACTGGAGTCTGGCCCATGGTTGAGGTGGAAGCTGCTGCACTGCAGCTGGCCAAACCTTGCTGTCGAAGTTGATGTCACAACTGTTGCTGCAGGAACAGCTTTCGTGCTCATTGTCCTGATCAGCATTCCCAAGAACAGGAAGTCTAAAAGAGACGTCTGCGGATGCAGGGCGCAGTGTGCTGGAACCACTGTGGCTGAGCTGTTTGAGCGGCATGCCACCACGAATCAACACACCTGCAACTGACTTTTAGAGTACATACAGCAAAGGTAGCAGGTTCCAAGGATGGAATGTTTCATTTGTTTGGCTTTTCCTGTCAATGCAGGCAGGTAGATGGCGAGCCAACGTCTTAGAAACCCCTCTGGATGCGCAACAGTGCTCTGAAGCGGTGGTTGGAGCAACAGCAGCAGCAGAAGCTGCGCGGAAGTGGGTGCTTCTCCTTGTCTCTTTAGAAGCTTACGAGCACCTTGCTGCTGATGGCTACTTCAGAATGGGCCTTGGCATTCATTTTTGCACAATGTCACATTTTGTCAGCGTGCACATCAGCTGCACAATGCCAAAGAGACACAATTTCGCAGTTGAAAATCAAAATCACAGATTCACATGGCTTTGGTGACATGACATATGTGCAGCACATACGACCAGCTGTTCCTGTACTCTCCGGTTATTTGATAGGTATCAGTGGACGAACCATGGAGATCTGCCATCTTGTGGTGTGAAATAGGTATGATTCTTCTTGCAGGGTTGAGGTCGGAGGGGGCAGTCTTGGTGACGCCCTGCAGCATGCTGTTCAGGAGCCAGCACTGTGGGCGACAGTCCTTGCACTGATGCTCAATTTCTTCGGCACTCCCCTGCCTTCATCGGTACAGTCACGTATGTTGCTTACACTACCAAACTTCTTTCCCTACATCGCTGATGAGCATTAACACCATGAACTCTGATGACATTACTGTTGCTTGTGTTTTGTTGTCAGATTACATGAGTGTCAACACTGCGGAGTGTGTTGAATTCATCTTATGCCACCAGATCTTCAAACTGGCCCACAGCCTCATCCTATTGTTGCATCAGCTGTAGTCAAGTGACGAATTGAAAGATCAGGGTTGACTGCATTTGACATTGCATGATTAATCACTGAATCAGCCAAGGGACTATGCCAAGCGATTAGCACTTGCCAACTATCTGCCCTCAGAGTGTTTTGCTATTGTTGTCCACCAAACAGTCTGCTAAGATTTATTGAATTGACACACAACAGCCCAGGTCATGGCACATGTAGTGTGATGAAGCAGAAAACCTCATGTTCAAAGTTGAACGAGGGCGGCCTCCAGGTGTCCTGCCCTTCACCATAAGGTCACATGTCTGATGACAGATGTGAATTTTTGTTTAATTTACCTGTCTATGGCACACACAATACAAATTGGTTGCTGGAAAACTGTGCAAAACTTTAGATGCCTTTCGCCTGTCATATGTGCGGCCATCATCGCTGGCTGTGCCGGTCTTTCGCAAACCATCAAAGCGAAATGCAGCACTGGCTGCTGGATGGCCTTGCATGATTGCTGTGGGCATCGACATTCCTTCTCATTCAGGAATCTTCACTGTCTCCAACATGCGTTGAACTCAAGGTTATTGTTTCCAAAAGGGGCACTTTGCACGGCCTTAAGCAGTGTTTAAAGGGGCAGACATGCCTGTACCCGAACTCATTCTCTGCAATAACCTGATGCTGCCAAAGTATGCAGTGTGCGATAGCAATTTTGATGTGCTCTGCCTGCTGTTAATATTCCAATCACTCCAGTACAGTCAAACATCACATCCCCCTCTGCTGCCTCCCATTGACCTCACAAACTCACGCACGTTACATGCAGGTCAACACTGTGACACAGCCTCTGGCTGCTGCAAACAGGCCACTGGCCCTCATGGCAGCAGGATTCTGCACCAAGTTTTGGTCATCGCAGGATGCACAGGTGCTGTTCCCCCCCCCCCCTTTTTCTTTTCCCTCTTGCTTCTGAAACACTATGCGGAAAACTGACTGGACAGAAGAGGGCAACTACCAAGATGCTGAGCTCAAAAGAGTTTGTGTGGACGTGGTACTTGGTGTGCTCTCACGTGGTGCGGCCCAAGCACAAAAGCGCAGTAGAAAATGGCAGTACATGCAATGGAACAGCAACATTATTCCCAAAATATCAGGTATAGGGTTGTGTCCAGCGAATGGGAAGCTTGAGGTTGCTGGCCTGCAGTGCAAGTGAGTGCATTGTTTTTGCAAGTTAGTGTGCTTAGATTATCAACGGTTGGAAGCGTTGTATCTCTGTTCCGTGCTGGTAGATCTCAACGGGCTGGCGAACTGCAAATGCATCCACTAAATGGGGTCACTACCATCAGAACGAACCGCTAAATGGCTGGAAAGGAAAGAGACACTCGTATTTTTGTGCAATGTGGCCATGTCGATGTTCTGCTTGCAACGGCAGGTTTTGACACATGAACAGGAGTAATTTTCCATCAAGAAGGAAAATGTGCCAAAAGCTGGGCTGCTGTCCTTTATAACATGTCTGCAAGTCAATACATCAAGCAGGCACCAGGCACTTGTTGCCAGGGCTGTTATTTGCTTGCAAGTACATGTGTACTCCTGTGTAAATCCACAAAATTTCGGTTGTTGTGCATAAAAATGTGTCATTGGTCTATACACTGAGGCTTAAGAGCAATCAAGGAGCCTGGGGAGCTGTAGCTGAGTGAGTGGACAACGACAACTTGTTCAGCAATGTCTTGGTCCTGCATGAAGGCAAGGTTGGCATGGTTGACCAATTATCTGTGAAAATGTGCAGCATGGATCGCTTGCAGCAACGTTAAGTATGCATAACTTTGGGCATCCATATACTTGTGAATATTCGGTGCCATGATCTCAGACAAAAGCCCTGTTCACTGGCCTGCATGGCCTTGTGTGAGGGCAAATGGCCCACATGTTATGTGAAACTCTGTCAAATGTTATCAGACATGCCTCTTGAAGGACAGTGCAAGTGCGAGTGCAGTGCAGGTACGTCCGATGTCCTTGTCACATCGTTGTGTCTCTGGTCCGCAGCTGAGGGATGCAGTGCTCATTGTTGGCGTACGCAAGACATTGGCGCTGCTGATGGGGTCCATGTTCCTCATCCTGTCTGCAAGGTTCTCCACAGCCCTGGTGGCCCCAGCCCTTGCCACGCTGCTGGCAGCACTGTCGCCCGTCCATCTTGAGGTCCGTTGGCAGCCAAGCTTGCAGTGCTTCTCAGGCACTCACTTGTCACATGAATTAGCTTCACATTACAATGCGTTATGTTGCAGTTTTGGTTTTGAGGTTCAGAACATGGAAACGGCAGTCATAAATCTAAGATTTTCAGTCTCACCAGGCGTGGCCCTCTGTGGTGTTCGCTGACATGTGTTGCCCTGTCTTCAAAGAATTCTTCAACATGTCTAGCAGAGTCTCATTATCTTTTGGTGCCCACTGTGTGGCATTATTCATTTGCTTGTTGCAGTGAACCTTGGACAGTGCCGAACCAGCACTGTGTCAAGTGCACACTCATAATCAGAGCAGAGTTTTCAGTGTGCAGCATGAGCCAACTGGTCCTCCATACAATCTGGCTTTGGACGTTGCTGAGTCCTTTCTTCACCACTGTTTCGATGCCTCATCGGCTGGACATCTGATGCTTTAATTCCTTTGTTGCCCACAAGTGCATGGACGCACTTGTGCGCCTCTGCGCGTCTGAATGCTGTGTGCACCCTCCAGGCTGTCGAATTCGCCCGCCAGTTCAGGCTGAATGAAAAGCTGGCAGCCACCGTGTCGTCTGTGTCGACAATTTTGTCCATTGTGGTGTTAACCGGAGTGTCAGCTGCGATGGGGATAATGGGCCTCAGTCAGGGTGGGTGGTGCTGCATCTGTATCACTAAACAATTTGTGATGGTTGGTTGTTCACTAAGCAACGTTAAGCACTAAATGTCTTGAGGAGCACTGCTGTTGCAAGCGGTGAACCAGAACAGTGTGTCAACAACAGAAACACGTCAAAATAATCTGAAAATTACACTCAACAATTATGTGAAAGTCTTCCAAATACCTTTTTAGAATGCATTTTGCAGTTGTGTAGACACGTGAGTTCCTGATCAAGTTAGCGAGCCTAGTGATTATCAATGGCCTGCCTATGGGTATGGTATTGCATTCTGGTTGTTGCCTGAGGTGCACTCTTTTCCTTTGCCACTTATCGGTAGCAGTGTTGCAGCGGGCATCCACAGGGAACTCCCTCTTGGGCGCGGATGGGGTGCTCTGTCAACTCGAACACTGACCGATCATCCAAGTTCTTTGTCACACATATGGGCTTGGGGACCTACAAAATTTGTGAGGCATCTGGGCCATTGCCTATGCCATTTCGATCTTCTGTGCCCTTGCCCTAGTGTGTCACGTTGTTGATTATCAGGTTGAGTAGATGTTGGCCACACAGTTGCAATGAACGATTAAGCATGGAATCGACAATACACAGCACTATCATTCCATCACATCCTGTGGTTATGTTATTTTTTTCTGTATTTGTGCTGTATTTATCCACCATTCATGGCCTGGGACAAGAACTGCGACTGCCACTGTCCAGTCCTTGTGCATGTGCTTCTGCCAAGCTGGCACCCAGGTCGGCACCCATGTTGGTGCAATGGGAGAATGGAAATGTAGCACAGGCCGCCAAATGACGACACGAACTGAGAGAAGGTAGTAAGTGGCTCAACCTGCATTCGTACAACTGAGTAGCCGTTTGTGTTGCAGAGCTTTTTGAATGGCAACAGCATTCATGCTTTTCGCAACTCAATTGCTGCGACCGACATCCTAGGCATCACTGCTTCAAATGATGAACCATTGGAACTAATGTCATTCATCAAGACTTTTAGCTATATTTTACGTTGTGTTCAATATGGATTCTGTAATATTGTTCTTTGCCAAATTAGTGTTGACTGTGTGCACCATTCTAGAAAGGCGCTTGTCTTACCCTATGCTCCAGGCAGCTCACATCGCTTTGGTAAGAAAATTCCAGTATGCTCATAGGCTTTTTTGTAAGAGCACTGGCCCCCCCTGTAAAAGATTAATTGAGCCTTTGTTATGCTAATGCTCAATTAACGATAGCAATGAATCCTGAACTAGTAATTGTTCAGTGAGTACTGTTGTGTTTTGGTTGAGCTAACGAACTGCTGCAGTGAA